TGATTTTTAGTCTATTTTTGTCTTTATCTCTAAGGTGTGTCTCTTGTAGGCAGCATATTGATGGGTTTTGTTTTCTTATCCAATCTGCAACTCTCCGTCTTTTGAGTGGTGCGTTTAATCCATTAACATTCAGGGTAATTATTGATAAGTTTGAATTTATTGCTGTCATTTTGTTATGTGTTTTTTCATGGTTTCCCTGGTTTCTTTGTTCCATATTATTTTTTGTGCTGAGCTCATTATGTTTATGAGTTGTGTTATCATTTCCTTTATTGCTGTTGTTTTAGTATATGCTAAATATTTGTGCTTGTCCTCTTTTTTATTGTTAATGACCTTTTGCTTTTTTCATGGATGATGTTCTTAATGTCATCCCTCAATTCTTCTGGTTCTCAGTCATGGTGTTCAGTGCATGAAATCTGTTCTTCAGATGCTAAATTCAGGAGGCATATTATCAAGGTCATATTTTGGCTCTGATGGACTTGTTTTAATTTCCTTCAACTTCACCTTGAACTTGCATGTGAGCAGTTGATAGTCTGGTTCACAGTGAGCTCCTGGCCTGGTTTTAGCTGAAGATACCAGGTTTCTCCATTGCCTTTGCACCGATATAATCAATCTGATTTCTGTGTACTTCCTTCTGGTGAGGTCCACATGGATAGCCGCTGTTTATGTTGTTGAAGAAAGGTATTTGCAATGAATAAGTCATACCCAAACCAAAACAAACTCACTGCCGTTGAGTTGATTTGACTCCTAGTGACCCCTTGGGTTTCCTAGGTGGTATCTCTATGGAAGTAGATTGCCCAATCTTCCTGGTAGCATACTGCCTAAGGCATTTGACTATTGACCAGAAGTCTGGCAGTTCAAACCCACCAGCCACTCCTCGGAAGGAAGGTTGGTCAATCTACTTCCGTAGTGATACCACCTAGAAAACCCAAGGAGGGGTCACTAGGATTCGGATCCGACAACAGCAGTGAGTTCCTTCCGAGGAGTGGCTATCATGCAATGTCCAGCGACTTTTTTTTCATTGAGGCCATATTTTCCAACTACTGGGGATTCTACTTTGTTTCTAACTTTTGCATTCCAATTACCAATAATAATCAACACACCTTGATTGCATGTTTAATCAGTTTCAGACTGCAGAAGTTGGTAGAAATCTTCAATTTCTTCATCTTCGGCTTTTGTGGTTGGAGTGTAAATTTGAATAATAGTATTATTAACAGGTCTTCCTTGTAGGTGTATGGATATTTTCCTATCACTTACAGCATTGTACTTCAGGATAAGTCTTGAAACATTCTTTGTGACAATGAATGCCACACCATTCCTCTTCAATTTGTCATTTCCAATATAGTAGATCATATGGTTGTCTGATTCAAAATGGCCCAAAGCAGTGCATTTCAGCTCACTAATGCCTAGGATTTCATTCTGTTGTACATAGGGTCACTATGAGTTGGGAGCCAACTCGATGGCGCCTAACAACAACAACAGTGCCGAGGATATTGCATTCTCTTTCATTTTTGACAACTTCCAATTTTCCTAGATTCATACTTCGTACATTCCATGTCCTGATTATTATGGATGTTTGCAGCAAATCCATTTTGAGTCATGCCACATCAGCCAATGGAGGTCCTGACAGCTTTACTCCATGCACATCATTAAGATCTACTCTACTCTGAGGAGGCAGCTCTCCCTCAGTCGTATTTTGAGTGCCTTCCGACCTGAAGTGCTCATCTTCCGGCACTATATTGGACACTGTTTCAGGGCTGTTCATAAAGGTTTCCAGTAATATATCAAACAGTGTTTCACTGCTATTCATAAGGTTTTCACTGGTCAGTTCTTTAAGAAGTGGATGCCCCTTCCTTCTTCCAAGTCTGTCTTAGTCTGGAAGCTCTGCTGAACCCTGTCCACCCTGGGTGACCCTGCTGGTATTTGAAATACTGGTGACATAGCCTCCAGCCTCACAGAAACATGCAGGCCACCATAGTATGACAGACTGACAGATGAATGGTTGCTTCTATAATTGCCTCAGTTTCAAATAACTTTACCTCAATTGAATTAAATTAGTAAAATTCAGTTACCATCAAAATTTTCAATTTTAGAAAGAATACATTGACTTTTTTTTTTTTTTTTTAGTGGAAGAAAATCCTTAGGACGTGCTAACACCTACCTCAATCTAACACATGACTAGTATAACTAATCTGGGTAATTGTCATAAAGCATTAACTCTGTTCCCACTTACCTGAAAATTATATTCCTTTTTTTCCAATAGTGATAGATCCTCATAATAAATTTTGAGTAAATAAAATGCAAGAGAAATATAAAACACTCTGAAAAACTTGTAGCTTTTAATGAATGATGATGACTCTCAAAATTTTAGCTGAACTGAGAGAAACAGAAAATGGCTCTAAAATAGGAAAATGAGAATTTTTCTCTGGTGGTGTATTGCCTAAGGCACTTGACTGCTAACCAGAAGGCTGGCAGTTCAAAGCCACCAGCCACTCCTCAGAAAACTGGGCAATTTACTTCCATAGACATACCACCTCGGAAACCCAAGGAGGGGTTGCTATGAGTCAGAACCAACTCGACAACAGTGAGTTGTGTTTTTTTTTTTTTTTTGGTCATGAGTCACTTTATTTTTTCAACAAATAATGTCATCCACAGAAAGTCACTTAACAAAAATATAAACATCTAATGTCAATTTAGCGCACATAAAATATCTTCAGTCAGTTTTGAGTCCTGCTCGTTAAATTCATTTCAAATCGGGTATTTGAAAATGGTGCCTGAGATCTGTTTTCCTTACTCCAGGCAACTGTTAAAAAGGGAAGTCTTAAAACCAAAAACCAAACTCACTGCTGTCGAGATGAACCAGACTCATAGCGACCCCTCCTTGGGTTTCTGTATCTCTACGGAAGTAGTTACCCAATCTTCCTTCTGAGGAGTGGCTCATGGGTTTGAACCACCAGCCTTCTGGTTAGCAGTCGAATGCCTTAGGCATTGTGCCGCCAGAGCTCCTGTTACACTTACCATAAGACCTAGCAATGTCACTCCAAGGGATTTACTCAAGAGAAAAGAAAGGTTATGCTCACACAGCATTTATAGTGGCTTTACCTTGATTGACAAAAATCGGAAACAACCCACATGTCCTTCCCCGTGGATGGATGAACAAACTGGTATGTGCATAAATGGAATACTACTCAGCAGTGAAAAAGAATGAACTACAATGAACACAGCCCAATGGATGAATCACAAATGCACAATGTGAAGTGAGAGAAGGCAGTACCATGAGGGTCCATGTATATGACGTCCTGGAAAAGGTAGATTTATACAGACAGGAAACAGATCAGTGGTTGCTAGGGGTGGGTGGGAAGGGCTGACTGCAGGGAGCAGGAGGGAAATTTGGGGTTGATGAACTCTTCTGCATCTTGGTTGTGGCCCTTGTCACATGACTGTATGCTTTTGTCAAAACTTCCACAAGTGTACATTAAAAGAGTGTATTTTCGTGTATGGAAATTATCCCTCAATATAGCTATTACATTTTTTTAAAATTTTAAGGGCAAATAATTTATATCCAAAGCTGAGTCCACTACTTTTTATACATTAAAGGTACTTTCAAGATACTTTTTATACATCAAAGGTACTTTAGAAAGGTAACCAGTAATATTTCTTTCTTATTTATGTAGAACACAGTTCCTCCCATAATTCATAGCATTTTGCTGTTGGTGGATAAAGAATCAGCATTGAGGCCTGACAAGGATGCCACAATTCAGGTAAAGGTTTTAGGCCCTTAGCATTTGGTATGACTCTGAGTGGTGCATATCACTGAGTAGATGAGGGTGCACACATGAAAGAATTGGGGTGAGTTCTGATTGCAGCCAAGTGGGAACCTGGAAGCCCACCTTCTATGCCCTGAGTTCTTACGGGAACCCTCAGAGTGTAATATGAAGTCAGGTTGTTCTTCCCACTACATTCTTTTTCTTTCTTTTCTTGCTTCTTTCTCTTTTATCTGAAAATGTCCTCATTCTTTTTTTTTTTTTTTAACCATCTCTCAAATCAACATGTCTTCATTCAAAATGTCTTCATTGTTGAAGGATATTTTCTCTATACAGGGAGCACATGACTTGGGATGGGTTCTGTTCTGACAAACATGTCCTAAGTTGGTTCTGACATAAGTCAGATACGTCCATTTTTTCCCCTTAGTTTTCATTTCTAAACTTGCCAGTGTAGTTATAAAAAATAAACATCTGTGAGTGAGCATCTGAGAATGATAACATCAGCAAATTACATGCTGCAACCTTGTATGTAGGACATATCACTAACAATGTTGTTGTTATGTGCCATCGAGTCGGACCCGATTCATAGCGACCCGTCCTTGTGTTTCTGAGTCAGTATCACTACGGAAGTAGATTGCCCCATATTCCTTCCAAGGAGTGGCTGGTGGGTTTGAACCGCCAGCCTTCTGGTTAGCAGTCAAGTGCCTTAAGCACTATGCTACCAGAGCTCCTATCACTAACAATAAGATATTAAAAAAAAAAAAAAATCCATCAGTGCGTCCTCAGTGCAGTTTGTCATAACTAGTACACGTTGTAAGTCAGGGATTACCTATACAGAGAATTCTGGGTTGACAGTGTCACTTTTTTTTTTTTTTCCTTCCTTCCTTTCAGTTCTGTTAAGGTGTTCTATTGTCTTCTGGCACCCATAGTTTCCTATGAAAAGTCTATAGTAATTCAAATCATTATTCCTCTATAGTCAATATGTCATTTTTTTCTGGCTGCTTCCAAGATATCTCTTTATTTTCAGCAACTTGACTATGATATGCCTTGGCCTGGTTTTCTTCATATTTATCCTGTTTATGTTCTACTGAACTTTTTTTTTTAATGCATTTTATTGAAGTATAATTTATGTACAGTGAAATACACAAAACTAAAGTGACATGGGTCACTGCATTTGTTTTTCAGTGTTCCCTCCCCTCCCCTCCCACCCCTGGCAACCAACAAAGAAAATTTCCCCTCTATATACACCTTTTCTTGACCCTCCACAACAACGAACTAATACTATATTTGTCCTTCTGTGGTTGACGTATGTCACTCAGCATAATGTCCTCCAAGTTCATCCATATTATGCGGTGTTTTGCAGACTCTAAATTATTCTTTAGTGCTGCAGAGCATTCCATTGTGTGTATGTATCATAGTTTGGTCATCCACTCCTCCGCTGATGGGCACGTAGGTTGTTTCCATCTTTTTGTTATTGTAAATAGTGCTGTGATGAACATGAGCATGCAGGTATCTGTTCCTATCCTGGCTCTCACCTCTCTAGGATATATACCTAGTAATGGGATTGCTGGGTCAAATAGTATCTCCAATTCCAGCTTTCTAAGGAATCACCATATACTTTCCACAGTGGTTGTATCACTTTACAGTCCCACCAACAGTGTATGAGAATCCCAATCTCTCCACATCCCCACCAGCATTTGTTATTTTCTGTCTCGTTCAACCTTGCTATCAGTGCTGGGGTGAGACGGTATCTAATTGTTGTTTTGATTTACATCTCTCTGATGGCCAATGATTGTGAGCATCTCTTTGTGTATTAGCTGGCCACCTCAATATCCTCCTCGGTGAAGTGTCTATTCATGTCTTCTCCCCATTTTTCAACTGGATTCTTAATTCCTTTGGTGCTGAGGCATTGGAGTTTTCTATAAATCTTAGAGATAAGTCCCTTGCCAGATACGTAATTATTGGCAAATATGAATTTGTTGCTGTAATTTTTGTTATGTGCTTTTTTGTGGTGTCAATTTCTTTGTTCCAGGTAATTTTCTGTGCTAAGCTCATTTTATTTATGAATCGTGTTATCACTTCCTTCATTGCTATTGTTTTAGTATTTGCTGAA